AAAATATTTTCTTTTTTGATAAAAATTTTCTAATCCTTCTCCTTGTTTCAGTCAATATGTAACAGTTAAGATAATACTGATAGAAGTTCCCTAGAGGCACACGTTGAAAAATGAGACACAATTGAAATCTGTTCATTTTTGCTTAATAGGCCACCTAAGTAAATAATATTAATAATGACCACCATTTATTGAGGGCCTATTATGTGCCTGGCACTGCTTATGCACTATTGGAAGATGAAGAACACTGAGTGTTCTGTGCGGTAGTTTAGAAACTAATCCAGTACTTCAGCTTCCAGATGCCTCACTCTTTCAAGTATACTGATTTATTCGTTTTCAAATGAAAAGTTACTTTTGAAAAGATCTACATTATAATGGAAATTGACTATACTGGCATGGAAACATCACATAATTATTAATGGCCTCTCTCCTTCTTCAGTGCTGGATCCTTTCTATATATGTGAGCTGCTGCCTGTAGAACAATGGGATAGGGGAGCTCACAGTTACCCCTCTGGGCCTGGTAACCCCAAATTTGCCAGAATTCACTTTACAACAGTTAGTTGTTAATTTATTCACATCAAAACAATCTGCCCTTTGTAAATGGGACATTGCCCAGATCACAACTGTGAGCTCACTATTTAACAACAAATTTCACTGGAAGTACAGTTTTTTTGAGATTGAGTTTCACTCTTGTTGCCCAGGCTAGAGTGCAATAGCGTGATTTCAGCTCACCACAATCTCTGTCTCCTGGGTTCAAGCTGTTCTCTTGCCTCAGCCTCCCAGGTAGCTGGGATTACAGGCATGTGCTACCATGCCAGGATAATTTTTGTATTTTTAGTAGAGACAGGGTTTCTCCATGTTGATCAAGCTGGTCTCGAATTCCCAGCCTCAGGTGATCGGCCCACCTGGGTCTCCCAAAGTGCTGGCTGGGATTATAGGCATGAGCCACCGTGCCTGGCCAAAAGTATAGTTTTTATTATTTATTTTATTATATTTTACTATCTATTTTATTCATATTTATTATTTGTTGTTAACCACTTGTCACCTATGGCAAACAAGTTTCTCCCATTGACTTCCTTAATATTAACTAAGCTGAGAAATAGTAAGAATGCCACCAAGACATGGTGTTCGAGAGATGGGTCTAGAATCAGACTGACAGAGTTTGAATCTCAAGTCTGCCACTGCGCATGAGACCTTAAACAAGTTACATTAACTCTGTGCCTCAGTTGGCAGTTCCAAAAAATGGTGATGATGGTACCTGCTTCTTGGGGTAATCTGAGAATTAAATGAGATAATACTTGTGCCTAAAAAGTAAACATTTAATAAGTGATGGTGTCTATTATTAATTACAGTCTAGCATATTACTGTTAGACAGTAGCCGTTGAATGAATCGTTCTCCTCAAATTCTCTTTAAGCATCTAAACAGGCAAAATTGTTCAACTCCTATTCATCCTTTAAGATTCAATGTCAACTCCTCTGTGATCCAATCTGACTTCCTTAGACAGAATGTATTTCCCACTTGTCTGTATCATGTTGCCAGGGAGCACACTGTATCATGGTTGTTTACATGCAATACCCCATAGTCCGTGCTGCCTTCCTAGAAGGTGGGGGATGGCCTTATTCATCCTGTATTCCAGTACCTCACAGTCTCTGACACTAATTAGTTCTCAATAAATACTGACTTGACTATAAGCTTTCTGGGAAGAATGAAAGTTCACTTTGTCCAAATGACAATTATAACAAGAAAAATATACATACTAAGTCTACTTTTCCCAGAAAATAATTTAAAAAATAAAATCCCAAAGTTGGGTGCCTGTAACTTGTCTCCCTAAGGAAAACATCTCCCTTTCCCAGAATGTTTATGTTCAAGAAAATTGTCTTTTAGAAACTTGAGAGATCATATGGGAATTATGTCTTACTAATGCTTTTCCTTTTGTTTTAGTTTTTTTGCTTGTAATTGGGGAAGCAAGTCAAGTTGTTGGAAGGCAAGAAAAACTTGGCACAGGAGTTGCAGGGTTTTAGAATGGAATGATCTGTTGGGCTGGTCATTGTTTCTACGGCATACTGGAGGTTCATCCTCACTGAACTCAAATTCGGGTAATTTGGGAAAATTTGGGCATATGCAATTGTAAATGGATTGTGTTCTGTAAGCTTCTAAAATTTGAGTTCAAGCTGCATTTTCTGAACTCATTAAGTTCCCTTCAATTCTGCCCAAATTTGAATTATATGCAAAAGGGAATTTAACACATATCCGCGATATTAACTTATCAATGACATGAGCCTTGTCTGATAGAAAGCTTGTATGAAAATTAAATAATGGCCTATGGCTCTATGTTTAAATGCTGGCAGGCATTATTCTTGAACCTTGTTTCCTGATTAAGACATTATTTCAAGGCAGTTATTCTCTTTCTAGCTAAGAAAAACAAGAATGGGGAAAGATTGAAAGTATTAAGGAAATGTTGGTATAGAAAAGATATTAGAGCTTTTGTAAACTTCTCATTTGACAAATAAGGCCCAGAGAAGTGAAGAGACTTGTCTGAGGTCACACAGCGACTTTTTCCAAAGCTAGTGCCACAGTTGACTCAGCAATGTTCTGACATTTATGATAGAACGGATTCTGCATTTCACCAGAGTTGGCTACGTGATCATCCTCCAACATCTTTCATTCGGGCCCATGTATAACCAGAGAGTCCAGAGCAAAGCGAATCACAAATGAAAAGTGAAAAATGTGGCAGGTCGGGGCCACAGGGTAAAGAATTTGACAAAGTGGACTTCGACTGAACACAGAAACATGTTTTTCACAGATGATCAGTCAGCAAGGTGGAGTGAGGAGACAGTACAGGCTTTGGACCAGATGGAACCGGTTTTAGATCCTGGCTCTCACCAGTATTAACTCTGCAACTTGGACAAAGCACCTAACCTCAGATGCTACCTTATCTGGAGAACAGAGAGAGTTAGTATCTGTCTTGTGGGGGGTTGAAAGGACTTTATTCATAACTAAAGTTCAGTGCCTTCTACACACACTTTGATTTTAATCTCATAAAACTTTATGAGGTAGAATATTCATACCACTATTATCTTACTCCAAAAGACGGACAACCAGAGAGGTTAAGTAAGTTGTCCAAGGTTACACATGTAGTAAAGAGGTGACCAAGGATTTTTATGGAGATTTGTTTGGCTCCAGTGCCCACTGCCTTAGCCACTGCAATATTGCAGGACTGGTAAAAATGTAATCCAAGAGGCCAGGTGTGGTGGCTCATGCCTGTAATCCCAGCACTTTGGGAGGCCAAGGCGGGCAGATCACCTGAGGTCAGGAGCTCGAGATCAGCCTGGCCAACATGCCAAAACCCTGTCCCTACTAAAAAAACAAAAATTAGCCGGGCATGGTGGTGTGCACCTTAGTCCCAGCTACTTGGGAGGCTGAGGCACAAGAACTGCTTTAACCTGGGGGGCAGAGGTTGCAGTGAGGCGAGATCATGCCACTGAACTCCAGCCTGAGTCTCAAAAAACAAAACAAAACAAGCAAACCAAAATGTAAGCCAAGAGCCCAGCATGCTGCCTGACACTTGATAAACAGCGCTTAGTTAAAGGAAGCATCAGATTCAGAAAGACAGCCATTTCCTTGCAGCCCAACCATGAAGAGGGATGGAGTGGCTGGCTTAGATGAGAGGAAACGAATAGCCCTTAGAGATGGAAAGCTCAGAGAAGCTGAGGCAGACACACAGACGCATGAGCAGCGGACGTCGGCCCACCTGGCAGCACTCCTGAGGGGCCCTCTGATCACCCACCCACCCCAGGTGGGAAAGCAGGTCTCAGACCCATCAGGAGCCACTGTGCTTCTCTTCCCTTCAACAAAACCTCTCATGCTCTCTCTCTCTCTCTTTTGAGACAGTTTCGCTCTTGTTGCCTGGGCTGGAGTGCAGTGGTGTGATCTCAGCTAACTGCAAACTCTGCCTCCTGGGTTCAAGCGATTCTCCTGCCTCAGCCTCCCGAGTAGCAGGGATTATAGGCATGTGCCACCACACTGGCTAATGTTTGTATTTTTAGTAGAGCCAGGGTTTCACCATATAGAACAGGCTGGTCTTAAATTCCTGACCTCAAATGATCCACCCGCCTCAGCCTCCCAAAGTGCTGGGATTACAGGCTTGAGCCACCATGACTGGCCCACTCAACTTCCTTTTTAGGTCAATGCTTGTTCAGTTTTGGCTTTCCCATTGATGGCCATGCCTCAAATGTTAGAAGTAAATGTTCTGTCTTAAAATGAACAATTTTTCTACATATGAACAAACATGACTTCTGCATCATCTACTATCAGGACTCTGAACACTGAAGTTTCTAGCTGCAAAATTCTTGCCCTAAACAGATCATACATTACCCCTAAGATGACATAAATTTACTCAGTTATGGGTACTGACCATTAAGAAATATGCTAGAACTGAAATAATCAAAATGTTAACAACCTTCACCCTGCCAAGTTTTCCAGCCCTCCTCATGTATTGCAGTTGTGATGCGCTTTTACAAAGCCTGATGAAATGTCCCGGGCCCTGGCTGGGGATCAGCTGTGTGAGGCTTCCTCAGAGAGCCCCAACAGAGTGGGGACAGTAGACACTTGTCCTTCTAGTGGTGTGAGGTTCAGGAATGGGGCTGAGGGAGGTTGTTTGTTAGGTTTGTGTTTTTTGACCTGCAGATCTCAGATATCCAAACAAGTGTCATTCCATTTGGAGATGGTGACTGGAGGCAAGTGGGGCAATCTCGGGACTTTTCTGAGTTCTCAAAAGCATTTGGCAAAACATTTTAAATGGCCTACTTGGCCTGCAATACATACTCCTTGGTATAAATTCACTGCTGGTAATGTTTTTATGTTTTTAGGTGCAGATTTCATTTCTGAAACAAACTGATTGTTCTTTGGAGTCAAGTTTAACTGAAAATAGATGGCTAGGTTGGAGAACAGAATTTCAAGTTTAAATGACAGACTATGACCAATTTTAGAGCAGAAATGATACCTCTAGCATTTTGCAGAGAGCTTAGAACAAAGTAAGTGTACAATAACTCTTTTTTTCTCCATAGGGTGGATGAGGTATGATTTTCAAGTGTTGCTCTTCTATGCTTCACAAAGTCATTACTTAGAAGATGATAGCTGGCCAGATGTTGTGGCTCATGCCTGTAATTCCAGCACTTTGCGAGGCCAAGGTGGTGGATCACTTGAACCCAGGAGTTTGAGGCCAGCTTGGGCAATATGGCAAAACCCTGTCTCTACCGAAAAAAAAAAGAAGAAAAAATTAGCTGGGCATGTTGGTGTACACCCGTAGTCCCAGGTACTTGGGAGGCTGAGGTGGAAGGATCACTTGAGTCCAGGAGATGGAAGTTGCAGTGAGGTAAAATTATACCACTGCACTCCAGCCTGGGAAACAGAGTGATATCATTGCTCAAAAAAAAAAAAAAAAAAAATAAGAGCTGGTCCCGGTTGTTCACGCCTGTAATCCCAGCACTTTGAGAGGCCAAGGTGGGTGGGTCACAGGTCAGGAGTTCAACACCAGCCTGGCCAATATAGTGTAACCCCGTATCTGCTACAAATACAAAAATTAGCTGGGTATGGTGGTGGGCCCCTGTCATCCCAGCTGCTGGGGAAGCTGAGGCAGGAGAATCACTACCCTACTTGGGAGGCAGAAGTTGCAGTGAGCTGAGATCAGGCCACTACACTCCAGCCTGGGCAGTGATACCCAAGGAGGACTGAACCATGAGCAAGCCCATTCCGACTTTTATACATTCCACATTAGGTTAGCACATGGTGTGTTGCACAGGGTAGAAATTAAACATATATTTGCACAATTAAAGTTTATAGAGGAAAACAAAAATCCAATCATATCTCCTGAGTTACAGGGCAACACTTTGGAAAACAGATATTGAGACAACTCTCTTTCTGTCTTATCCAAACACACAGAATCTGATATAGCAAGGACGGAAATCAGTCCTTTGGAAACATGGAAAGACAGCTAAAAGAAATATTTTAGAATGCTGATTACAATAGAACAGATAAGTTTATGTAAGTAACAGTTTACATTTTGAAGTGGTTTGGGAGGTTTCCCATCATCATTGATCTTAGCTGTAGACTTAATGTCTTGATTGCTAACAACATAGCATCCTCCAATCCACCTGTCCTCAGAATTTGCATGGCTTACACTATCTAAAAATGAAGTTATTAAAAGCAGTAAAAGTCAAATATTGCCTCTACAGTTTAAATTCAGGTTTCCCATCAAAAACCACACTTGGAGGCTCTGGATTTAAATTGGAAACAAATGAGAGATAATTAGGAAGATTCAGGAAAAACTCAAAGAAGCAATTTATAAATGTGTTAAAATAACTGTCACTGTCACTATACTTGGCTGCTTAGATACACTGAGTAATCCCCACCATGTTGTAAAAGAGACTGTGATTCTCATTTTTCAAATGAGCAAACTGAGGCTCAGAGTAGTTGAGTACTTGCTTAGGATCACACAGCTTGTACGTGGTCCAAGCCAGGGCACAACAACAAGCCCACATCTGCCTCCTCCCAATTCACTGTAATGCCTCCCTTACACATTTTATTTAGAAGCCTGGTGTACATGTTCAAGAATTAAATATACATAAGCAAAGCAGAAAGCTATATTAGTCTATGGTCTTGAAGAAGGATTGGAATGTCAGGTTTCAGCTCTGCTGAAGAGAACCAAACAGGGCATTGGCCTTTCTGGGCCTCAGGGTCCCCCCTTTCTAGACAGAAAAACACAGTGACCTACTTTGAAGGACTCTCAGGAGCAACCGTTATAAAGAAGGCTGCAAAGACAAAGCTTTTAGCTAAAAATCAAGGAAGCAATGAACCCATGGAACGAGACAAGTATCCTCTCTGATCCAAACCTAGAACAAGGGATAAAAAGACCAAAAGTGCCCAGGTCTCCTGTCCAACTCCTGTCTCCTCCCCCTTATCTTCCACATATACTTTTCATATGTGAAAGTTCTCTTTGAAATCACTGGAGTTCTATTTGGAGAAGAAATACAAGGAGACAGGAGGTCAAGCTGCAGCCACAAGGCTTGGTCAAGTAATTGATGTATCACTAATCCTTTACTTCTCCTCCTGCCTTTATTTAACCAAAAGAAAATGAAAGGAGTAGAAATCTAATTCATTAATCTCTCTTTATAATCAGCCTTATAAAAAGCACAGATGTGTTGCGGGGAATAGGAAACAGGCTTTGTGAGTCTTAGTGAATTTTAACCTAGTACATTCTCCCTAGTATATTCTCAGAAGCACAGAAGAGTCACGCTAAACTTTCCTCCAACATCAACATCTTAAAATGCTATATTAAAAAAACACACACACACTTACTGTTCAGGGTTTCAATAAGCGAAGTCCAAAGTCAAGGGAATGATCTCTCTCTTTTATGAAAAACACCATATGGTCTTGGTGGATCAGGAGGCTCACTGGTCTGTTATTAATAACTGGCTTAGAGCTTTATGATGAAACATGAGCCAGAATGTCACAGGAGGAGGCAAGTGGAAAGACATTGACAGGCACAGGTGGAATAAATTATAAAAAGATACACTTATGCCCACACAGGAACTCAAAGAACCCATGAGAAGGAGATCAGTTCCTCTACAATCAATAGACCTTTATGTCAAATGTTTGAAGAGTTAAACAACCAACAAAAATATCCCGAATGTCAAAAAATACCATGACTATACTATGCTTGGCTCTTCTGAACAATTCTTTTCCATGGACATCTGAATATATTTTTAAATTTATACATAAAATGTACATCTATTGTTTACATGTTGTTTACATTAACTCCTCAATTTTAGAAATATGTCAATAAATAGATTTTGAAATGTACATTATCAACATTTTAAAGTTATTTTTACCTGTGAGCATATCATATCAGCTGTCCTCCCTTAGAGATCCCAAAACAATTCCTGGAAATGTATAGGTATATGTTGGGGTTGGAGGCTGGATCTTGAGATTGTATCATACATAAAAAGAAACCTGTAGAATTGATGTGGTCAGAACAGAGATGTAATTATCACCTGGCTCTGGTTTGCAGTGGCTCTCCTCTTTTGAAAACTTCTATTTCAAAACCTTCCAAATTCTGTGCCGCCCCCTCCTCCCCAACAAATGATACCAAATTGTTTATACTATTAACAGTATGTCTTTATACCTAATTACCTTAAACACGGGCTCTGTCTGAAGTATTAAAAGAAACTGACAATTATGTGGCTGGGAGTGGTGCTTCATGCCTGTAATACCAGCACTCAAAAGTTTGAGACCAGCCTGGGCAGCACAGTGAAACCCAGTATCTACAAACAAATACAGAAAATTAGCCAGGTGTGGTGGTGCATGCCTATAGTCCCAGCTACTCAGAAGCCTGAGGTAGGAGGTTCACTTGAATCCAGTAGACAGAGGTTGCAGTGAGCCAAGATCATGCCATGACACTCTAGCCTAGGTAACAGAGCAAGACTCTGTCTCAAAAAATAAAAAAAAACCTGACAGTTAGAGAAAAGTTATTGAAATATATAAAGATACATTACTTATCTCTGCATGGAGCTATGCTTGTTAAATTGCTTCTTCTTCTTTTTTAAATAGAGACAGGTACTCACTCTGTCACCCAGGCTGAAGTACAGTATCATGATCATAGCTCACTGCAGCTTTGAACTCCTGACTTTAAGCAATCTTTTTTTTTTTTTTTGTATAAGCCTCCTAAACATCAATACCAAAGCACAGTGATTTGGAGCATTATCTGCCAAAGGATTTAAAATTATAAATCTTTATTACCTTGAGTTAATATAGTAGAACATTTTAAACATGCAGAGAATTTGTAAGTTGTAAAAAAATTCTATTTTGCTGACTATAAAATTGTATTTCAAAGTTAAACCATTAGACTATTGAATTAACAGTGAGGGACGCCTTTAAACAATCTTCCCACCTCAGCCTCTTGAGTAGCTGGAACCACAGGTATGTGCCACTGGACCCAGCTAAATTTTTCTTTTCTTCATTTTTTGTAGAGATGAGGTCTTGCTATGCTCCCAGTCTGGTCTTGAATCCTGGACTCAAGTGCTCCTTCTGCCTCCACCTCCCAATGTTATGGAATTACCACCGTGAGCCACTGCATGCAGCCAATTGCTTCATTCTTAAGATTCCAGCTACTTGTCACCCTGGCTCAGACCTAGCAACTGGTCTTTTGTCAAACTAAACCTTTTTTCAGCTAAATGCTGTGATGGGTAAGGGTGGACACCTCACTACAAATTTCACACAGTGGTGAGTTATTCTACTGAGGCAACTGTGAAAAAGAGAAACTAATATGCTAGTGATAACCAGTTTAATAGATGGGAGAGAAGGAGTGGAATAGGTATAGGGCCTTTCTTTTTTTTCCATTCTCTGATCAATTCTAAAATTTTGAGTATTCACTGAATATGTGTATTTTTATTTATAGAACATATGCATGTACTATTGTAAATATGTCATTTACATAATAAAATACAAATACAATTTCTTTTTTTTTTTTTTTTACAATTTCTTTTTTGTAATGTTATCAGGAAAGAGCTTGAGTACAAATACAATTTCCTTTTTGAAATTATTTTTATTTATTTATTTTTTAAGATGGGGTTTCACCCTGTTGGTCAGGCTGGTCTTGAACTCCCGACCTCAGGTGATCCACCCGCCTTGGCCTCCAAAGTGCTTGGATTACAGGCGTGAGCCTCCACACCTGGCACAAATACAATTTCTAAAAGAAGAAATGTAAAAATAAAGACATTCTAATGTTTTCTTACACACCTCTAGTGGTCTATCTTTACTGGTCCCTGGGGCATGGACACTCCACTCAGCAGCTGACTGATGAGTGTTAAGAACACTAGGCCCACTATTAGCTGTTCTGGATTGAACTGCATCCACTAGAGATATTTTCAAGCTCAAATCCTTAGTATCCGTGAATGTGACCCTATTTGGAAATAGGGACTTGCTGATGTAATCAAGATGAGATCATGCTGGATTCGGGTGGGCCCTAATCCAATGACCCAAGTTCTTGTAAGAAGCAGGAAATAGGGACATAGTCAGACACACAGGGAGACATCATGTAACAAAGGAAACAGATACTGGAGTGATGTGTCTGCAAGCCAAGGAATAGCAAGGACTATATATATAGGAAACCACCAGAGAAGCAAGTTAGAGGCAAAGAAAGACCCTTCCCAGAGCCTTCAGAGGGGCCATGGTCCTGCTGACACCTTGATCTTGGTTTTCTAGTCTCCAGAACCGACACAATAAATTCCTGTTGTTTTAAGCCACCTTGTTGGTGGTAAAATTGAGCTTCGAATACTTTAAAAAGTATTTTTATAAAAAACGAATGCAAATGTTTTAAGAATTCAAATTCATAAAATTTAGGTAACTCTTTTTTTAAAAAAGGACTACTTTAATATTTGTCTTTTGATAGAAAGAGTTGTCTTCTGTGTTCTCCAAGTTCAGCAAAATACAGGCATATATTTGTATTCTATTTGGGCTTATTCTTCTGGAACTTGGACAGCTTTACTGATTGAATAAACTAGTATTATGTTTCCTAGATGTTTAAGATGATGAAAAAACTTTAACAATAATTATGTTTTGTGGTATGTCAGCTTGAAGACAGTCTCCAAGATCTTTTGGTAACTTGAAACTTATGCTAGCTTAAGTTGATTAATGGACAGTTATTAAATACCTACATCATTTCTAATAATATAAAATATTGAAATATTAATCGCTAGGCATAATTTTAAGGCCCTATGTACTTTGCCACATTGAGAAGTTGTATTATAAGGACATCTAAGCTATAAAACATTGTAAAGTGTATATTCATGGCCAGGTGCGGTGGCTCACGCCTGTAATCCAAGCACTTTGGAGGCCAAAGCGGGTGGATCACCTGAGGTCGGGAGTTCAAGACCAGCCTGACCAACATGGTGAAACCCCGTCTTTTAAAAAAAAAAAAGTGTATATTCATAAGTTTTGCTACAAAATTGTAGTGTCTGACAGCTCACAGCTATCTACTTCATAGCTATCTCTGTTAAATAAATAGAAGTTAAAAAGTCATGACTGATTTTTTTTGTGAATGAGATTCTCTGAAAAAGGTAATTGCAGAGAAGAATAACTTTTAAGCAACGTACTCAGGATGTGTTTTTGTTAAGGGAAAGGAGCATAGTTTTGTCTTACAGTAAAATGACTGACTGTTCCAGAATGATGAAGAAGAATAGGCAGCACAAAATTAAATGTGTAGAAACCTGTAGCAGGTGCACAGGAAGGGAATTTTATTTGCTGTAGTTGAAAATGGCTAAGGTTGAAGAGAACAGATCCAAGATGGCCGACCACTAACAGCTCAGGATTGTAGCTCCCAGTGAAAGCTCAGAGAACGAGACGACGCCACATCATTAGACGAATTTTCGTCACTCACCGATTAGCCGACTCCCAGTGGAGGAGCCCCACGGGTCGCCAGCGCGACTCTTGTGGCCGCTGCAGTGGTTTTGCCGGCGTCTCGGCGCAGCAGCTCTTCACGCAGAGCCAACGGGACCGCTTCCCCTACTGACCAGAGTTTGGAGCTCCAGGAAGTCAGAGCCGCTTGTTGCGGACTCAAGAGGGAAGCCAGACCAGAGATTCCCGGGCAGAAGAGCACCATCAGTCTTACTGCTGCTATTTAGGCTGCCACAGTGGGTGGCTCGGATCCCAGCACTGGGAATCAATAAGTCGGACGTCGACTCAGAAAACTAGTTAGAAAGGCGGGTCATCTACAATGAAGGGAAAAAAACAGCCTAAGAAGGCCGAGTCTACTCAAAATCAGAACCCATCAGCAACGGAACAAGCCCTGATGGAAAAGGACTCATCAGCAACGGAACAAGCCCTGATGGAAAAGGACTCATCAGCAACGGAACAAGCCCTGATGGAAAAGGACTGTGTTCCATTATCTGAAGTAGGCTTTAAAAGGTGGATGATAAGAAACTTCTGGGAGTTAAAGGAACTTGTTCTAACCCAATGTAAAGAAACTAAGAACTTGGAAAAAAGGTTCGATGAAATGTTGAAAAGAATAGACAATATAGAGAGGAATACAAATGAACTTATGGAGTTGAAAAATACAACACGAGAACTGAGTGAAATATGTACAAGCTTAAACAGCCGAATGGATCAAGCAGAAGAAAGGGTATTAGAGGTCGAAGACCAACTTAACGAAACAAAACGACAAGACAAGAATAGAGAAAAAAGGATAAAAAGGAATGAGCAAAGTCTCCAAGAAATATGGGACTATGTGAAAAGACCTAATATACGCTTGATTGGTGTACCTGAATGTGACGGAGAGAATGAAGTCAAGCTGGAAAATACTCTCCAGGACATTATCCAGGAAAATTTTCCTAATTTAGCAAAGCAGGACACTATTCAACCCCAGGCAATACAGAGAACACCACAAAGATATTCCTCAAGAAGACCAACCCCAAGGCACATAATC